ACAACAACAACAACTATGCCGAGAGTACTAGGATATTTGACAAAGCGGTCTTACTACAATCCAAAGCAGCAAAGCAGCACACCACCCAACTTGGGTGGGTCATAAATATCAAAGACAAGTAAAGAAGGGGGAAGCTTTGCTAAAACGAATTGTACAAGCCGAAATTGTGCACGCCTTCTCTACTTATCTTTGATATTTTATGACCCACTGCGATGCAGCGTTCCTCCTTTTTTCCCAATCGAACATGGTGTAACAAGCGGTCACGTGCTCCTGCGTACACCAGTCACCTGGTCACCGTGCCTGCAGTAGGCCTAGCCCAAATTTGCTCGGGGCGCTTCGATATTTTGCCGGCAAATTTTGCCCAAGCACTTTCCATATTTTGCTTGGCATTGCCTTTCGTTTCCGATATTTTGCTCCATTTTGCTCCTGCTTTGTGGCAAAAATAGCTTCGAATGAACCGTCTACTTTGGTAAAAGTGGATGGTGACTCTGATGAGGAAAGCAAAACTGAAAATGGTGTCAGTATTACGGATTTTGTAGCATGATTTCAAATTTATGTACCCCTGACATGTCGACAACCTGCACGAGCTATTTCAGCACGACGTTGGCCCAATGAAACCAAAGAAATTAGAATAAAATTGCCAAAACACACCCGGATCCTCTGTAAATTTCGATATTTTGCTCGGAATTTGCTGGCAATTTCTTTTCGTGGGAAATTTCGATATTTTGCTGGAAGAATTGCCGGCAAATTTGGGCTAGGCCTAGCCTGCAGGGTACAACTTACTAGCCTGTTAGACCTTTTTTGGGTGCAGTCCTGTCACTTGAGTTGAACTCGAGTTGAACCTTGGTGTGAAAGTTGTCGCCAGGGAGTCGTAAAATAAAACAATAAAAAAGGTATTTTACGACTCCCTGGTTGTCGCCTGCTGGGAGTGCTGGCGCGGTGACCAGGTGACTTGGGCACCCAGGAGCACGTGACCGCTTGTTCAACCATGTTCGATTGGGAATATAGGAGGAATGCTGCATCGCAGCCGTTTCGGACCAGTCGACTCAGCGTCCAAAAGACTACAACATATGGGCCAATCGCGGTCATCCGGGCTTTTATAAGAACGACATGGCGCTTTTAGTGACATTTTGCATACAAATCCCCATCTAGTAGGGCGCATGTAGTATCCCTGCCCGACCAATACGAAAGCAGTACGGAACTAATACGGAGCTTTGCCTGATGTATATTTAGTGTATCTCCGTATGTAAGCGTACGGCAGCTGCTGCATAAAAGCGGCTGCGCATTTCTGTTTTGATGAAGATGAGATTTTGATAATAACGAGCTATTCAACCTCCAGGTGTGCACCGGAGAGAAAGTCAGTTATTTTGCCGTTTATTCTTTCACTAATAATTATATCTCAGGTGTGTACCTGAAAGAAGTAGAATAAAAGTAATTCTTGTTGATTTCACCGCGCCTACCACTCGGCTACCCATTACATTGGTGGCAGCGGTGTAGTTTTAAATAAAACAACGTGATTCGACCCCAGACCTCCATGGCTCAACCCGCTGCAGCTCCCTGCGACGAATCAAGATGAGAATCATGTTTCTTGCTTTCCTGGGCCTGGCCATGCTTATTAGCTTGCAGCACAGTCAGGTGCTAGTGTGGATCACCCTTCCCTCCGCATGGCATCCATTGGAGACTCCGATGGCGATTCCAAGCAACCCGCTACCTACATGTATACTACCGGTGGTGATGGCGAAGCTGATGAGGACGACGACGTGCAGGCTGCTGATCAAGACAAGGAGGGTATTCCCCAAGACCAGCAGCGTTTGATTTTTGCCGGCGCGTAGTTGGCAGACGGCCGAACCCTGAGTGACTACAACGTTCAGCAGGAGTCCACTATTCACTTGGTACTTCGTCTCCGTGGTGGGATGCAGATTTTCGTCAACACTCTTCCTGGCTATACCATCACTCTTTACGTCGCGCAAAGCAATGCTATCGACAATGTGAAGACCACGATTCAAGACGAGGAGGGAGGTCATTTGTCTGACGCCGAGCTAGCCGCTCTGAGTGACCGGCTCAACCAAGATGAAGATAAAACCTGGCTCGCCCTCCGCCATAGCTCCAGCCGCCGCCGTGGTTACTAACGCTGATTCCAGGTATGGCATTTTCTTTCCTGTTTTCCTTCAGTCTCCCTGTTCTCTTCAGTCTTCCTTTATGCGAGTGTGTGAATCCAGTTTAGTTTGGTAGGCGTCTGATCATGGTGAGCCACGGCTTACCCAGCTAACGTGGGACAATGTGTGTGACAACGCCCCTTATAGGTATAGTGTATTCAGTTCGGTTTTTGACCTGCGATGTTCCTGGCGGGTTGTGCCAGCGTTGTGCAGCAAGAGTGCTGTAGTTTTTCAGGTCCTATTTGGAGGACAGTTCTTTCCCCTTTTGACCCCGTGAGATGGTGTGAACCTGGTGTGCTTTTACTTCTACTTTATGATTTGTTATCAGTTCATTTCTTCTGTCTACTCTAAACGTTATCATTTCCGATATAATTTGCCATCTTCCGGTTGACGCTGTGTTCGTAACTCTTCACTAATTTTTTGAAAATCACGTGGGCGTGATTATCTGTAGGAAGGGAGGGTGTAGTATCCCTGCCCGACCAATACGAAAGCAGTACGGAACTAATACGGAGCTTTGCCTGATGTATATTTAGTGTATCTCCGTATGTAAGCGTACGGCAGCTGCTGCATAAAAGCGGCTGCGCATTTCTGTTTTGATGAAGATGAGATTTTGATAATAACGAGCTATTCAACCTCTAGGTGTGCACCGGAGAGAAAGTCAGTTATTTTGCCGTTTATTCTTTCACTAATAATTATATCTCAGGTGTGTACCTGAAAGAAGTAGAATAAAAGTAATTCTTGTTGAATTACTTGTTGAATCCACCGCGCCTACCACTCGGCTACCCATTACAGCGCAGTCACCCAGTTTCGGTGGAAGTGCGCGAGTTCGATTGGGAAAAAAGAAGGGAGTGTCTCAGCTTCCTCGGACCAAGACCATTCGACTCACCACCCCGAATACTACAACTGGTGAAAATTTGATTTTAGGCTTAACTTCCCCCTTTTTTGGCTTTAACATGTCCTGCTGGAATTTCACACAAACAATTAATTAAAAAGAAAAACACGCACGCACGCGTGCATCCACCCACACACTAGTACACACGTACATGTACACGCCACCACAAACGCAAGACTGGATGCACGCACCCCTGTGGTAGTCATGGCCCAAATTTTCTCTGCCCACATCGATATTTTGCCGCACAATTTTGCCACAAATTTTTCGATATTCTGCTTGGCATTTCCTTTCTCCGTCGGTATTTTGCTTTGGTTTTGCTCGAGAAAAATGAGTTTCAAGGAAAACTCAACGATAATTGTCGCTGATAACGAGAATGTTTTTGATTGAGCTCCTGCTGCTGCTCAACTTTCTACAAAAATGTGGCCATGAGTCAGTTTTGTCCCACTTTTGTGCCTGTTTTCAACTTTGAAGACTGATTGCGTTGAGAAAGTCCCTGAGAAGCCTTGGATTTTCTGAAAAGCCAACCAAAACTCGATATTTTGCTCAAAACTTGCCGGCAACTTGCGCGTCCGATATTTTGCTCAAAGAATTGCTAGCAAATTTGGGCTATGACTACCCTGTGGTAGTCCCACTGAACTGTATCTAATAATGTGTATGATGCATGATGCATGATGTCTTGTATGTTTGGTCTCATTAGAGAGGTTTTGCATTCCGAATTTCGGAATTATTTTCGGAATGTGGCGGCAGCAGTCGAAAAAGTAGTCGAACTTTCGGAAGTGTGGTGGCGAAAGTGCATGGTTTTCCGAAAATGGATTTTCGGCTCTTTCATGTTTGGGAGTACATATTTGAATACAAAAAAGTGTATTTTTCATATTTGTATTTTTGCTTTCTGCTGCTCTCGATTATTTGAAAAAATTTCCACGTATGTAGTCAGTTTGATTTTTGCTGGTTTTGCTGCTCTCGCTGATCTCGCCATGTTGACTAATCTTCTCACACTCCATCACACTCTATCTTCCTTTGCCATGGAGCCTACTGACAGTACAAGACAGTAGTTCGCCAACCTCGTCTTCAGCTGTTGGATCACTTGGTCCACCATCAGTACGTCCTCGTCTTCGAACCGCACCCAAAAACAGTTTGGCTTGCGCACATGGATTTGATCCTGCTCAGGGAGTCGTAAAATACCAGGTATTTTACGACTCCCTGATCCTGCTCAACCTCTTCGACGCTCTCCATTTTGTTTTGCATGGCAACCCTTGGAAACGAAGTCGAATCAGATTTTCGGAATGCAAAACACTGAAAATACCGTTTTTCGGAACGCGCTTTTTTCGGAAAAGCACAGTCGAAAATAATTCCGAAATTCGGAATGCAAAACCTCCCTAATGACAAGCCTTCAGTAAACAAGAACCGTAGTAGAAGCATAGTCAATGTACTAGTACTGGTACTCTGTTCTTGCTGTACGCATTCTCCCCATACTCGGCATACCCGGAGTAGTGCCATGTGTTGGACCAGTGACGTAGGTCTCATGTGATACTTGTTTTAGCTACAGAATTGTACATATTTGCGCATGCTTGCGCAAGGTCGAGGAGATCGAGAGGGAGAGCCCAAGAATGGCGGCCAGATCCACATTGTCCTGATTATTTATTATCCAGAACCCTTTCCTTGTATTTATTCTTATTGCATGTACTTAAAAAAAAGAAATATTGACTATCCTTTTGCTTGATTAAACCGTGTTGGCAGTCACTCACACTCCCAAACCCTGCCACCAGCGATCCACAGTGACGAACTTGTCACCAACCCATCCAAAGCTCGTCATTAGCACATGCTGGGAGATTTCACACAAACAAACACGCACGCACGCGTGCATACACCCACACACTAGTACACACGTACATGTCGCCACAAACGCATGCATGCACGCACCCCCAATGCATACATGCATACATGCACTCCCTTCAGCGTCCCATAATAAGCACCAGCAAAGCAACTTTAAGAGAATGCCAAACATATGTAGGCATACACCAAACCAGTGAATATTGCATACATCAAAGTAGATAAACATTCCAAAATACTCCAGCCTCGAGGAAAACCTCACTGTCTTCAAAAAACAAGCAAGATTAAACCTTGGCACTTGGTTCATGCATTTTGAAACCCCCTCAATAGGCCGCGGAGAAGCCTCCGGGGAGTCCCTAAGTAATAATATAGAAATACAAAAATGGCAATGGTTTGCAGGTATTGAAGTCTGATCGTTGATCCAGATTGTGTTCACTTAGTTGTATTGAGGTATTCTGGAAGATAATTATGTCAGCAGTAACGCAGTCAGAACCGTACAAACACTAGATGGATGCACAATATGAATTTCAGAAACAGAATCTTCAATCTCTGGACAGACCCGCGGCTTCACAAATTCAGCAGAGCATCTTTCGCAGAATATTCAATTCTGGACAGACTCTAACACAACAGAAACAAACAAACAAACAAACAAAATAAATAAACAAACGAACAAGCAACAACAACAAGCAAACAAACAAAATAAATAAACAAACAAACATGCTGTCAGACTGACATTGGAGTGACTGCTGAGTGCCAAGCACACCACAAGCACTTCCAACTGTCCACTCCGCAAACCTGCCTGAAAGCAACACTTCCTGCTCAATCCAAAGGTTTTGCGGGTAATTAACCCGAATCAGCCACTAAAGCTTGATAAGTAGGCCAAAGAAATTTGTGGCCCAGGCTCAGTGACGTGAAAAATTGATATGAAATCTGTCCCATGAATTATTGATCTCTTTTAATTGAAAGCTACCTTTCTCTGTTCACAAACTAAACCGGATTTTGAACTCCAACTTGGAAGGTTCATGGATATTGGTGGTAATTCCAAAGAGGGGATGGAAGGAAAGCCATTTTCCACGTTCTAAATTTAACATAATTTTCTTGGCGCACAATCCGGAGTTCTAACTGCACACCTGACGAGCCGTTATGAACTATACGTGGTAACAATCATCGTGTGATGCTATACACGTGTACGGGAGTCAGAGAACGTTGTGTGATAATGGCCTAGTTCTCTGACTCCCGTACACGTCAACATCTACGGTAAAAAGTCCGAAACGGCTGGCGGTGTCATCCGGCAGCCACAAGTGGAGTGCAGAGTATGTACATGGCGCTCTTCTAACGAGGCGCTTCGTGAGTCGATTGGGTTGTACATTTATGACTCTCTCCCTATGACTCTCTCCCTAGGTCATACACAGTCAAGTTGGGAGTTGCCAAGGGCAACTACATGTGCGTGATTCAAAACTATGTATGGCGGAACATGGCTTCGCAGGCAGTGTAACGTAAAACAATCCATACATCGATTACGCTTTATGCTAACGTAATTACGTCTGAACGTCTAAAATGATTCAATCATGCTGTATACATGTACAAGGTGAAATGATAATACTCACCAAAGCATACAACCGAGCGATGCGGACGGTAGTGAAGCGTATTAAATTCGTCGCGGATATGCATTATATTATCCACGTTGTTATACCTTCCGACAAAACCCTCCGTGTTAGTCCACATTCCGTACGAACCATAGTGAGCATATGCTGCGAATCTGTAAAGGGTCGATGCCACGCAATGGTCACCTTTCATTTCATTATCTTTAAGCAAAAAGCTACCCTGATCTCTGCACATCTTGTTTGCTTCTGTCCAGCTCGCAGTTAAAACAATACCGTTCCGGTCGGTCTGAAGGGTGGCTTTGTAGGAATTACAGATATGTGTTAAAGGTACTGTAGTGATGAAGCAAATGAACACACATGCACACATATGCACACACATGGGTTTACACACTCACACACACACACACTCACACACACTCACACACACACACACACATACACACATGCACGCACGCATACACACACACACGCATATACACACACACATACACACAATCAACACTGCTATCACGCGAGCTCGGGTCTGCGGCAGTGAAGCATACCCGCATCAGGCCACTCAAAACACTCACAAAAGCACTAAAACTACAATTACCAAACTGCCTTACCGATGTATGACCAGCTAAAACACCAACACCAACACCAACAACGCAACCCACAACAACCAACCATGCAATATAACAATTGTCAGACCAAGACGATCAACAGCAAACTGCAACAGAAGTTACACATTGTTAAAAACGGAAAAGGCAACTGGACCTAACTTGGTTGTGCTACTTTGCTGCTTCAAATTGTAGTTAGACTGCTTAGTCAAGTACTGGTATCATCACCATCCAGTAAAAGTCGACATTCTTTGTTACTGTACCCCGGACTGCCTTGTACTCGTTTGTTTTTGCACACACCCCCCTCTTTCTCTCAATACTCTGTCAGTTCTGCGCGTAGTTATTTCACTTTCTGACTGCATTTAGTATCTAGTTTCAGTGGCGGACACTTACTCATATCCATATGAAGAGTTTGGATGTAAAGCGCGACAATCGGCCGAGATGAGAAATTGAGATTTTGAGTTCAGTGTGATCAATAGGTATAATAAAGACAACTTCTGTTTGGCTGTGTGGTTTTCATGCGCCCTCGGTAGGGCTGTATGCTTTAGCCCTTGATGGATAAGTCGTTGGCCTCGGCGGCCGTTCATGCGCCCTCAGCTGGCAGGTTGCCATTTGTGCGCCCGTGGTGGGCAGGATTACAAAGCCTGTCCCCTTGGAAAAATGCAATTCTGCGGCCGCTGCAAATTTCACAGAAGTTCCCATCATCCACGGAAATCACGGAATCCACACTTTTGCCTGCGGAATCTGAATTTTAAGGTAGATCAGTAAAATTCCTACTTAGAAAGCAGCAGAAAAACTACTTTGCGATCTGTTTGAGCACATTGCTCTTGCCAGTGTAGGTGAGTGCAGGTCTCTCCAAGATTCTTCACTCTCATTCACGGTTTGTGACTGCAAAGGATAGTGTGAAAAGTACTCCTTAAAGCAACAAGTTGTCATATCGTCTACAAGGAAGGTGAACAATTTGCAGAAAGTGCCACAGATTTTTGATTTTACTGCAGAAAATGCCGCAGAAACCCCCTCCCCCCCCCCCCGGAATTTGCAGCCGAATTTTGAACTCTTGGCCGGGTTTTTTCTTCAAAGTGACAGCTTAGCCCTTGGGTGAGGGAGGGGGGGGGGCTGGCTGTTGGCCTCAGTGGCGGTTCGTGTCGTCGGTCTGCAGTGAACAGCAGCAGGCTAGCCCTTGGCGGGCAACTATTTTCTGCACCTGCCCCTGGTAGGCAGTGTGAATCGCTGACGTTCCAATGTGATGACATTGCGCAGCTATTGTCATTTGCTTTCTTGGAACCAGTCTACCATCACATACTACTGTCGTGGACATGGAAACCCGGTTGGCGGTCAAGCGGCCCCAGGGCGCTGGCCATGCAGCCGGGGTTAGCACATGTGCACTGTGATCAACATGCGCATTGCATGCAACGTTCTGTACGCACTGACGGCGCCGGCCCCGGGAATTCGTCCGCATTTTCATGTCCACGCCAGTATCATATACAGTCAACTTTGCGTATAACGACACTCGGTGGGGCATCAGAAAAGTGTCCTTATTTGCGAAGTGTCCTTATACGAAGTCTTATTATATGCATACAGGTAGGCGGGACTTTGTTCTGGGCATGGAAATTCTGTCGTTACTCATGAATTGTCGTTATATCCGCAGTCAATATTAGCGAAATTGACTATAGACCTGCATTGAGCATATTCTTTTCAAATCTTTATTCGAAAACAAGTCATGACAACCCTCAACCCTGCTTGTGAGTGTGTGTGCATGAGTACATTGTGGCTACCCTGGGCCTCACTGCGACAGTCAACATTAGCTAGAGAAGGCTACATTGGGCCTCACTGCGACGGTCGACATTAGCTAGAGAAGGCTACCCTGGGCCTCACTGCGACGGTCAACATTAGCTAGAGAAGGCTACCCTGGGCCTCACTGCGACGGTCAACATTAGCTAGAGAAGGCTACCCTGGGCCTCACTGCGACGGTCAACATTAGCTAGAGAAGGCTACCCTGGGCCTCACGCGACGGTCAACATTAGCTAGAGAAGGCTACCCTGGGCCTCGCTGCGACGGTCAACATAAGCTAGAGAAGGCTACCCTGGGCCTCGCTGCGACGGATCTATTTACCCACATCACTGTGAGGTAGTTATAGTTTCATATTTCATAACCAGTTCCTACGCCCCTATTGTCAATAAAACTGCTGCATTGATTCGTCATTGTTCATGCAGGTAGAGTTGTCATTGAGCCAGTTCCTTACTCCATTCAATGATTGCATTGCCCATCCTGTGCAGCTACTATCTCTGGGAAGACATTACACTTATCTCCGTGAAGGTACTGTTAGGTACCTCCTCCCGTACGTTCTACAACCTTTTCCAAGCTGGCCTGCATGAACCCCATACTATGTCGTACTCACCTTTTGTCTCCTTTTGTCATCTTTTGTTCTGTTGGCCTGGGTAGCTACTTGCGCACCCATATTTGCCATAGCTACCCAGGCCCTTTATCTTGCCGCCCTCACTCGATCTGTCTCGCTCTCTTCCACCATGTAGTCGTTTCCGGTTCGTCCTTGTCTTCGTCTCCTATAATAAATGTCTTGCCAACTACCTGTTCCCGTTGTTGGTTGTGTCTTGGAAGGTAAGACCCTTCTTCGTACTCAACAGTACTAACATATCTGTGTGAAGGTACTACACGTAACAACAGTATTAACATATCTGTGTGAAGGTACTACACGTAACAACAGTACTAACATATCTGTGTGAAGGTACTACACGTAACTCCCTGAGGGTCCTCTTGTACAGGCAAAATAAATTGCACAAATCATTCAACAAACTCTCATAATGAATTCAGTGAACTTTAAAATCAATTCAAATACTAGTGAATCCATTGGAACACAAAAGAAGAAAGGAAAAAAAACTAAAGGTAAAAGAGCCAACAATATCATTACCATACTGGCAGAGAAAAGCAGCTATTTACAAAGGCCCTATTCCTGCTCCTGTATCTCCCCGAGGGTACTAACTTCATGAAGATAAATTGTTATGTCTGGCCCTAAGGGCCCACACACAGCATTACTCAGGTTCGTACAGTTATCGTAATAATCAAGGAACAGAAAGACCAGGAACTTGAAGAGAGCCTACATTCTCGGACCTAGTCCAGCACAGCAAGCATGCAAAACCAGCCACGAGCCCAGGCGCGCATGCGCGCCTTATCACATCACGTACACAGCACGATCTTCGTGAAGCTTTCCTCTGACAGAACAAGTGAATGTCCAGTGACCACTGGCAAGTTCAATTTTCATTTCATTGGCCATTCGAAGGCTTTCATGATGACAGCAACGAAATGCTGCCACAAATAGATCATTACTTGCGCTCAAGGGGCTCGTACTTTGCATTTTGTGTGACAATGCAATAGTGCAACATGGGATTAATCACTGTTTGTTTCCTACCCCCCCCCCCCACATTGTTATCCTGTGTTGCAACCTGATACAGTGTAAGTTTTGCTTGGTAAACAAGCACGCTTCAAAGAGCCCCGCACCTGGAGTACAGCTGATTTTCAGCTGATTTTTAGCTGTAACTTGCTGCACAAAGCAACCAACACAGTACAAGTAACGGTTACTAGCCTAGTATGCCACACATCATAATAATTATTAGACATAGTCATCATCAAAGGTTAAAGGGCTAGAATAGTGGCACTCACAGAAACATGCCGCAAGGTGTGGTGCCTTGGTTGCAACGGAGGAGTTTGGTCCTAGATCAATCATTGAATGCTTGGTGCTGTTAAACCAGTATGTAGGTTCGATATCCACAATGCGAGACACATTCAGCAAGAAACTGCTGACACCCGTGTTGTTGTGGACACTGGAATAGAGGTGAGCTCCAAAGCGGCATGTTTTGGAAGCCTCATCCAAAGTAGCTACTGGTTTTGGGTGCACGACAATATGATAAGCAATACCTGAAATGTTGATTGTACCAGCTAGTTGTGCTGTGTGCAGAAGCAAAGAAGCAGCATTATAAAGAGATAATCATGTCTGTAAGTTGGGTTTGGGGAAATCGGTGAATTGGCGCCGTCCCGATTTTCTTGTTCCGGGAATCAATTTGATGTCCTCGTTTTGTATCTCGAGAAACGTTACTCGTTAGGCTTTCCCCAAATTGGCCCGTTGTTTCGCCTATTGGGCTCTTCACTCGGCTGCAAAATCAGCTGATGGTTCACAAATTGGCTGCAAAATTGGAATAATATTGAAAAATCGGCTAAGAGAATTGTTGGCATATTGGTAGGGAGGGCCCAAATATGCTCAAAAATTTCGCATATCATGCTTTTTGTATATTGGCCACTTGCTTCAAAATATGCTTCGAAATCACACAAAAGCAAAAATATGCTCGAAATATGCTTGATCACCAGAACTGATATCAGTGATAATTATGCGAATTCTTTGCACCTTGCAGCAAAATATGCCACATTTGGTACAATAATATTATTATGCTAGATTTGATATCTATATTTTCGCAAGGTCGCACGCATAAAGTAGCAAATCTAGCATATTGTACCAAATGTAGCATATTTTGCTACAAGGAGCGAAGAATTCGCATAATTATAGGGCAGATTGCGGGAATAGACAAGGAAACTTACCACGGCACGCTCGGTCAGGGAACACTTCCAAACTTAGCCCGGAAGGAAAAATGCTCATCCAAACACGGGGTGAAATTTTGACCCGAGAAGAGAAGATCCGCGACTTAAGGTCGCATAAAGTAGCAAATGTAGCATATTGTACCAAATGTAGCATATCTTGCTACAAGGAGCAAAGAATTCGCATAATTATCACTGATATCAGTTCATATTTCGAGCATATTTCGAGCATATCTCGAGCATATTTTTCTGCTTTTGGGTGATTTCGAAGTATATTTTGAAGCAAGTGGCCAATATGTGAAAAGCATAATATGCGAAATTGTTGAGCATATTTGGGGCCCTCCCTAATCTTGAGTCAAAAAGGACCAAAATATGCTTCAAAATTGGTGAGATAATGGAAGATTTGGTAGATTTTCGTCAATTCTCAAAGGCATCCTCCAAAATCAGCGAATTTTTCGGCCGGAGGATTTGGGCATTTCACTAGTCATGATCTTCCTTAGGCCATGGTAAAAATTCTTTTTATTCTCAAGTACGTGCGCACCGATTTTTGGCAGCGCATCGACGATTTTTTTTAAATTCTATGCATGCATATGCTCGCATGAAAATGGTCAATGCGAAAGGCATGAATCAGGGAGTAATAAAATGCCGGCATTTTCCTACTCCCTGGCCTGAATATAACATGTGACCATGTATATATGTGTGACCCTGTCTTTGGAAATAAAAAAATTGTGGGAAATACAATAAAAATCGCTCGCTCGCACCGATTTTCACAGGCTCATGACCTGAGAATCAACTTTATATTTTTCCAAGGCCTAATGGCTAATGTTTGTCTGAGAGGAGGTGAAAGGACACGAGTCACACGACCTCAACGCACTAGCACTACAATTACTGAAGTAGAGAGCTCGAGTGGTCATGCTCGCAGCAACATCATTCCTTCCTAAACGCATATTGCAACAATATTTTGTAGATTTTCGGAACCCTCCAAGAACCCTCCAAAATCGGCGAAAAGCTTAGCAATTTTTTTCCCGGATATGTCTCGTTTTTGGCGAATTTTTCGGCCGGCAGATTTGGGGAAAGCCTATTACTCGTACGCTATTCATCCTCTCCTCTGTGCTAGAGAAATACAAAATACAGGTGTATTGTGGAAGGGTAGGTAAACTTTGTGCCCACTATTTATTATTATTATTACTCAGTTGCATGTACGCGTTGGAGTCAACCATGCAAGCATGATCCACAACTTCGCTTATCCTGAACATGATAAACAGGACTATGACAGGGGAAAGAAATTGAGCTAGAACGATGATATAATGATATGGCCCAATATCTGAGAAAATCGACCTTCGGGGCTGTTTTGGTGAAATTGATTTTTTTATTGCAAATTGATGTCTTGCCTTTGTAGAGTACTGTGACTTCGTTACACGGCCATCAGACCAATATTGACCATGTAGAAATGCATTCTACAGTCAGGAGTCATGTTAATGAATTGTTCTTTTTTTACAATTTTGAAAGACCAGTGTGTTTGGAGCCACCAAAAATTGTTTCCATGTGATATCAATAGCCAACTAATATAGTAAAGTGTTTTGACTGTTCAGGTACTTCATTTCCAGCATTCCGTGACTTTATTGAGGTTGTGTAGTTGCAACAGCAGCAATAGCAGCATTAGAAGGAGAGGTGATTGATCTGTTCTTCTGGTGATGGACATGCTTGACAGGATAGTCTGCAACAGATTTTGACGGAACACCATGATACATGTGACAGCATTCACATACTTATTGTGAAGGAGTCAAACAGAGCAAATGCGTCCAGATTCGCCTTGTTGCACTTTGTGGAGACTGACCATTTCCAAACATCAGTAAACCAGCCTGACAAGCGTTTCACACCACCAACTCAAAAGTAACAGAATGTTACTCGAGATTGCCCAGCCTCATGTGCTCCGTGATGGTCTGATTCGCCATTATTAGCTCGAGTATCGAGCCTGCCATCCCAAACATTTTAGGATCATCGTCGCAAAGAAAACTCGCATCATTTCGTGCTGTTTTAGCAGGTCTGGCGTGACACTCAGGAAACAGTTCTGCCACTCGCGCAAGGGCGCCCAGCGACCTTGCAAGCGGCGTACCCTCAGGAATCCACCTGGTTGTCCTTGCCTGGAGCTGTAGCAGCTATCGCTGAGGCAGACTGTGGTTGGCCTTGATCATACTCATCCAGGCCAAGTCCTCATCATCGTCGGCCCCGACAGGTAAGTACCGCGTGTCACTTGCGATCGATTCGCCTGACATGCGCTCTCAGAACTAGAAGCGCTGTCGCCGCTTGACAGGATATCCACAAAGAACGATGCATCACCGTCAATGGGATCGCGGCTGCTGTGCTCCGTGAGCCCAATAACCAACTGACACAAGAATCGCCTTCAATTTTCTTCCGCCATTGTCGTCTCTGCACTTTGCTTTGACGGAATCGATTTTTTTGCGAACAAATTTGTTTTTAGTGTTTTCTCAAAAAAACCGCGTAGCCCCGAAGGTCGAAAGTCTCAGATATCGGGCCATATAATTATCATATACAATGTAGCTCATGGGTATTGAAGATATGTCATTTATGAATATGTCTACCGTATTATATCTAATATAAGCACAGTCTCCAATAATAGCACGTCTCTAATAAAAGAACACCTTGGGGAAGCATTCAAAAAATAAAGTGCTCAGTCTCCATTATAAGCACACTGTGTAAATTCATTATCTGTACCGGCGAAAAAACCCTGAAATGTGTGTGTCTGAGATGAATTTGGCATGGCAACATGCCTCTGAAATGAGGTTGAAATAATAATGGAACAGTCTCCAATAAAGGAACGTCTCCATTAATGGCATGGGGCGGAGTTACATTGAAAAAATAAAGGACCGTGCTTATATTAGAGATAATACGGTATATGTCATTGAATCGATGATTGCCGCCTGAGTGATAATAATAGTGCTATTTCCTGAGTTTGACTGTTTCAGGATCTGTCGGAATATCACGATGCACAGATCTTCATACATAGATCTCGCCATGCGGGTCGGTCATGGGCAATGGCTCGTAGGCTCTGCAGAGCGTCTAGGTTCCCGAGCAATCCGGCATTGGCTTGGCGCAGATTTCCCACCAATGCCTGCGGCAGGGTCGTCCGTGGTCTACCCCTCCAGCATTCCTGTTGCTGATTGGCGAAGTACGCGAACATAGCCATAACAGCTGGGGATTCATCTGCCATCCGCAGGATGTGGCCAAACAGCCTCCAGTGTGATCTCTTGACCATGACACTCAAGGGTTCAGCTTCGCATCTGGCATAGAGAGCATCATTCGGTATTATTTGTGGCCATTTCACACCGATGAGTGACCTTAGCTGACGGCGATTTAACTGGGAAAAATTGACAACTGTCCCACATGTTAAATTTGTCGAACTCTCCAGTCTTGCAGTATTTCGAAACCCGCTGACAACTCGGCCGGAAGATGACTACATGTATTTGTTGTAACTAGCTTACCTCCACCTGCTCCCAGCCCCGTGATATCTCCACACTCAGACAATTGGACGACGATAACTACATTTAGAAGACTGTTTATTACAAGACGACTGCGGAAACACAACTAGACATGACGAACTCAAGACGAAGACTGCTTTTCACACCACAGCAACACGCGCATGCACCAACACCACGTACACAAAATAACGTACTACAACATAACTCCCTCCCAGGAGAAGAATCGTCCTTGATTCTAATAATAAAACAGAGGAAAAAGAGGAAAAGATCACACCAATCATTCAATCGTACCACACCAGTCACCCCCTGAAATAAAATACTTCTGCCTGCACCGCAGATTATAAAAATCTGTCTGCCCACCCAGAAAAATGCCACGATCGCTGTCATACATGTGGGAACTGATAACCTCAAAAACTCTAAGCTACTTCACTCAATACACCACCTCAAACCACGCAAAAATTCTAAAATGTGAGAGCACGAATCATAAGAATAACAAAAGGAACAAAATCTACTGGCTCTGTGGGGGCCTCTAGTTATCCTCATAGAAGAGCAAATCAAAAAACGAACAGAACACACGAGCTGTGCGGGTGCCTCTTTACCCTCGAGGAGAGCAAATAATAAGAAACAAAATGTTTGGAGAACAGAAAATGCAAAACTCACATACTCATCACGTTCAAAACGACACACGTACCCTC